GACAGCCTAACTATAGCTGAAATTAGACAACATATCAAGAAAATAGAAAGTGTTGAAATGTTTATTAAAATTCTTAATTCCATATTACTTGGTAAAGTATAGGCACCTTAAATTGAGATGTGTGAAAGTGAAGTGATCATCACATCAGAATACCAAGCGACTTTGTCAACAAGTCAGTCCTCTCTCTGATCATCTTTCAAATAGGATAGTCTGATCCACACCAATACATTACGAGACTGCAAATATACTCCCATACTTTGATTTACCGGTAGACTTTTGTGTGGGTGTGTGTATGGGTGTGTGCCTCTCTCTCACACACACTCTTGTGCTTGCTGTCTACCTTTCTCTCTCTCTCTATCTCTCTATCTCTCTATCTCTCTCTCTCTCTCACACTCTATGTCTGTCAGTGGGGAAGTCCAAAGTACTATTTTGTCCCAAACATTACCGACCACCTGAAAGATTTTAGTATACCTGATGATTGAAATGAATTTGTGATAGCTTAACTATACCTGAGATTAGACCAAATACCAAGAAAAGAGAATTTGTTGAAATGTTCATTAAAATTCTTAATTCGATATTACTTGGTAAAGTGTGGGGCACCTCAAATTGAGATGTGTGAAAGTGAACTCATCATCACATCAGAATACCAAGCGACTTTGTCAACAAGTCAGTCCTCTCTCTGATCATCTTTCAAATAGGATAGTCTGATCCGCACCAATTCATTACGAGACTGCAAATATACTCCCATCCTTTGATTTAGACCTCTCTCTCTTCCTGTCGTTGTCGTCCTCTCTCTCCCTCTCTAGCTGTCTACATCCCTCGCTGTCTCCTCTACCTCTCCCAAGTTCTTCCTCTATCTCTCCATCTTGCTTATATCTCTCTCTGTCTATGTCTATCTCTGAAACTCCCTATCTGTCTATGACTCTATATATCTGTTTTTTATCATTGCCTCCCTTTCTCTCTCCCCCTCTCTCTCTATTTGTCTCTCGTACACACAAGCTCACTGTCTCTTTCATCGCCATTTCTCTCTTTCTCTCTCTCTCTCTCTCTCTGTCTCTCTCTGTCTCTCTCTGTCTCTCTCTCTGTCCCAGTCTCTCTCTGTCTCTGTCTCTCTCTGTCTCTATCTCATGCTACTACTCTCCACATCTCTCTTTATGTCTCTATCTCTCTCCCACTCTCTCCATTTTATCGCTCCTCCTCTGTGTTCATCCCATGCCCGCTGGCCGAGCGGATCTCATCCCACTGTTTACTTAAATCCCAGCCTTCCCCTGAAAACATTCCTGTGCGAAGGGACGAATTATGTGATTTGCAATCAGCCAATGTGCTCTACAGCATGCGAGACAGAGAGAGAGAGAGAGAGAGAGAGAGAGAGAGAGAGAGAGAGAGAAGGCAAGCCATGTACATGTAGGCACTTAGGAAAACCATGAACCTACTAAGACAATTCTGCCCTGTTACCCATTATGTATTTTCATTCGTCTCTTTTGCTAAATGAAATAATGAATTCAGTTTTTGACAAAGATGCGAATGCCAAGAGGCAGTCACAAGCGGCAGAAAAGAAAAGCCCTGATCAAGAACATGTTTTAAACATGTTCTTGCCTAGAGAGGGATGAAGATATGTTTTTATAAGGAAGAGAAGAGAAAAAGGGTGTCAATTATTATTGCATTTGGGCATTTGAATGATGAATTTTGTATTCATGATGGACTTATTAGTAGTCATATTACGGTGTGATAAGGGATGACAAGACGAGAAGAAACTGTTGGGAGGGGATGAGGGGGGGGGGGATGTCTCAGGAATAACTTGCCTTGTCTGTCAGAGAAGTGTCCCAATTATCTTTTTTTCCTTCTTCTGAGTTTGCCTTTTGGCCTTTTTTTTTGGGGGGGGGGGGAATAAGACGCCCTCCCCTTTTACCAAACCCTGGAGCTGCCCCCCTCCCCCTCCCGGTAATCTGTCCTTGAATGATGGGAACGGTTACGTGAGCATATCAAATGAAGTGGAGCGAATGAACATTTGGACGGATGTGAGGATCGTGATAATTGTGAGGGAGCGAAAGGGGATGGTGGTAGTGAACTCCTCAGAGTTTGAATAATGTCACAAGGAGAGCTGCTATGGGAGCTGCACTAGCTCAAAGGAAATTTCAGTTCATTTAAAATTCAAGTTGGAAGTCTATTGTTCCACTATAACATTTGATTTGATAATTTTATTTGAAGTTGATATGATTATAGATTATCAACAAATATCTTTTTAATGAAAATTTCAAAGATAATAACGGTTGCTGAAGTGATTCTCTTGTAGGGGGAGGGAGAACAAAAGGGAACAAAAACAAAAACAAACATACACACACACACACACACACAAAAGAGAGGGGTGTTTATTCATTCCTATTGAAATGACATTGAGAGGAGGGGGAGAGACTGTCATTTTCCCTTAAAATCCTCTAAGATGCCCTTAAATATAAAAAGGAGCCATCATAAATATATTTCTGCTTGCAACTGAACTCAGGCATACAATCTCTAAACATGAATCCAAATCTAGTTTAGCTTGAAATTTGAATGTTCTTTTGAAAATGAGGTTATTTGCGATCACTCACCTAGAAGTGGAGAAGAGGAGAAGGAGAAAGGAATGCCTCTTATAATCCACTGAAAATGCCCTTTAAATGGTAAAGGAGCCATCTTTAAATATTACTGGTTGTGGAATTGATGCATAAGATCATCTAAATCCATTTTGTCTTGATAGAAACTTCAAAATCAGATCCTTTCCTGATCCTTCAACATTGATACAAGAAAAGAAAAGAGAAGGGAGGGAAAAGATTGTTTGTCTCTGAAAAGACCACTGAAAATGCCGTTTAAATGGAACTTTAAGTATCTTTAAGTATTACTGTTTGCGGAATTCATGCATAAAGATCATCTTAATCCATTTTGATAGCAAAATAGCTTTCGGAAAGAGGTACTTTTGGGATCACTTGTATTAAGTAAGATGGAGGGGGGGGGGGGGGGAGTTCAGAGGATAAAAGATGGAATATGAAGATGTTTGTAGTCACGTCAGAGCAGTACGTCTGTCTGCCACATTACCGAGTCTTGCCTAGATATTAGGAAACCCCATTAACTATTACAGGATAGAGCTTTAGCCAGACAGTCCCAATCTCCTGTTCATTATGTATGGCTTTGCTTCAAGCATCAAGCATGCGTACAAGAATGTAGGGTGAACTTGCTTTCACAGTTAAGCTTGTCGTTCTTAAATTATTCTGGCTGTGATCATGACAACCCAAAGACCTTTTGGGGTTCATTTTAAGTTCCTCTTTGCAAACATGCTACACTGTATTCATGGTTTGTTCATCTTTGTAACAGGTTTTGAAATCAATTATTTAGGTACCCAGTTAGATTCTATTGTAGATAATAATGCATCTGATCCTACTGATAGCAAAAACATTTAAAACTTTTATTTGGAATAATTTTAATGAGTGGCCAGTTTTGTCAGAAGGGGGGGGGGGGTCTTAGATTTTAATGATTCAAAGAAATTAATTTGTAATATTCAATTGAGTTAGTTTTGCCAACAGTCAGGAGTTGTAGACTCAAAATTATACAATTTTTCTGACACTCATGTACATCAAAAGGTAGTCAGCTATAAAGTAAAAGTGATATAAGCAGAGAAAATGTTTTAATAATTTAAGCATATTGATTTGTAGTTAGTTGGTCCCCAAATAATGATATCTTCAAACACCTGTGACTCTAAATAAAACGTTCTCCTCATTCTGAAAGATCTTTAGGGGTGACAGTTAAACCCTGAATCATCTTAACCCTTTGCTCACGGGAACCTGGTGGTCCCTGTGTTAATCCTATGGGACCTTTAAATTTCAGTAGTCAGCGGGTTCAGAAGTATATACAATACTGTGAATTTTCATGTTCCTGCCATTCATGTGTAGACCTTTTTCCTTCTTCAAATGTCTCAAGAAGTATATACAATACTGTGAATTTTCATGTTCCTGCCATTCATGTGTAGACCTTTTTCCTTCTTCAAATGTCTCAAGAAGTATATACAATACTGTGAATTTTCATGTTCTCGCCATTCATGTGTAGACCTTTTTCCTTCTTCCAATGTCTCAAGAAGCAATTAGCAACCAATTATAGATTCTTGAATATGTCCTATTCTATATAATTGCATGATGTCAGTATGTTGGTGTACAAAAAGGTCAACTGAATCAATTTGATAAAAAAATGACAAGGTTTTGTAACAATTTGAGCTCACTACTTGGCAATGAATTAGCATTTTTTTTAATTCAGCGACTCTTTTTCTAAGAAGTCGAAGTTGAAGTTGTGACGCAAGTGTACACATGTACTTTTCAGTGATACAAAACCTTACAGTACAAAACCTAACCTTTAAATGTAGTTATCATGTACATGTAATTAGGAACAAATTGCATTAAATTAACAAGATAATGACATGTTATTTTGTAGTATTTTTTATTTGCTAAATTGCAATGACATTTAAAAGTACAGCATTGCCCAAATATTAACCTTTACCACTTTAATTCCGATGCTGAAATTCTTGTTTCTGTGTACATGTGAGGTACATTGCACATGAGTTGCATAAATGAGGCAATATAAACAGAAATAAAGTTGTGCAGACATTCTGTATATCTGATACCAATGGAAATTGGAAAAGCAATGTATGGTTATCTGTATCCTTAAGCTTCTGATCATTTTATCTGTAAATCTTTGACCTGTTGACCTCTTCAACCGGTAATGATCTGTGATTTTATTGCAATTTTTGAATAGCAATATATTATCCATAAATTGCTTTAATATCGTAAATTGTTTTAACCCTTCTTGTGTTAGTTATCTAATGAAGATGTTAATCTACTCCTTTTATTAAGAATTTTGGCATTCTGCATCGTGGTACTGATATCAACTTTGTAGAGTCAATGGTTAAAATTTCAGCTATTCCTGAATAATTTGAACAATTTAATTATTTTCTTCTTCTCATTTGATTTTTTTCTTTCTAGGCTGAGATCCTGAGCATGTTTGTGGCCATCTTGCGTAAGAGTTACCTCAACCTCCAGGCCTGTTCAGAGGTGTCCATCATAGAGAAACTGGTTCAAAGGTTACCAAGCAGTGATGAAATGATTGCAGGTAAGTCCGACCTAGCCCGTGTGCCACCTCCACGCATTTCTTAAAGGTATAGACCAGTTCTGGTCATGCGATTGCATTGTGAAAGAAATGTTGGGGAATCGCTCAGAAAAGGTTGATCATCTGGCATATAAGTATTGGTGATTTGGTGTGTACTGCAAGGTTCTGGAATCATCAAAATGATAAGAAATTTGGCCGAGTCTTGGTAAAGTTACAAGCACGTTACACAGAAAGATGTATATGGGACTACGCAATATCTATCCAGGCCAGATAGATATGATAATTTACCAAATCGTCCCTATTTTCATGAAGTGACGGTAGTGAATGAAAATCGCAAACAATTTGCGTGCAGATTTTCCTCACTACCGTCACTTCGTGAAAATAGGAACGAAATATATCAATTAGTAGGCGGTTTCCCAGCAAAATTTGTATCATCACGCAATAGTCAAAACATATGCTTTCACAAGATTGGTAATAAGAGCCTCCATTCTATTTTTTGAGAGGGGGGGGGGGGCATTTCCAAAACTGGTCTTTACCTTTAACCCTTGCAGTACTACGGGGAGGTCATACTGCCCATATTTTGATTCTGCATCTGATATATTGGGATAGAGAAATGCTTGTCTTTCTTCTCAAATATTCTGGAGATTCTAAATTTAGAATTAATCGAAATCATCCAAGTGATTAGTTCAGTTTAATATCAATGAACCCTATTCTGTTAATGGACAATAAAAAAGGAAACTATAATTAATAACCTGTCTGTCAATAACCCTTTTGATTGATAAATTCTATGTAATCCTGTTGGCATTGCAAGGGTTAAAGCCACGGCACACTTATATAATCTGACTGCGATCTGATATTGGAAAAAATTGTGCCTGCAAATAGATGGGAGCTTTATCAAATGTGCAATATCCGGTGATCAAATGTGCATTATCTGCTTTGGTTGGACATAAAATGCACGGTTTGGGGAAGCGCACAGTAAATTGTAGAATAGTGCAGGTCAGGTTCTCTACAATGGGCCAATCAACTGCCTAGATTATTCATATGCATAAGGCTCAGTTCAATACCATGATCAGAAAAGGCAAGAAATCAGAAAAATCTCTAGTATTCATCTTTTATTCTCTCTCTCAGCAAATCTTCCCTTTTTGAATAAACCTTGTGATTGCACTTCTACTTTCAATACATTTTCTTTCATACTTCCTCTCTGTCTGTCTCTGTCTATCGTTTTTCATGCCCACTTTCACCTTGCCGTACCCAGTATCAGTAGCTGTGTATAGTTTCATCTCCTCCCTCAAATCCTTCTGATTTGTCTCTCTAACATCATCCCAAATCCCCCCATCTCATGTGCCCTCTCCTACCCGACCCACTACCTCAGTCATGTAAACACACCTCCGCCGCCTCTACCCCCCATAATCCTTTTCAACTTTCCGCAAATGAACTGAGCCCGCTTTTCCCGCGTTGAAATTAGTCACGATAGGGTAATGCGATGAAGATGAGACACATTAAACATCATCATTGGATGCGGTGAAGATGAGACACATTAAACTTCATCGGTAGGCCTGACTTCATCGTTAGGCCTGTTTTCATCAGCTCGAGATTGCCAAATATCCCGTTATTTGAACTATCTCGATCGCAATTCATCCAGTTAATTTGCGTCTTAATCAGCCCAAAGTTGCAATTAGCGGGATATTTGGATGAGATAATCATCCCAAGATATTTTGGGCATGTTTGCAAAATATCCCGCTATTTGTCCGATGCGACTTCACCAGCCCGAAGACTCGCACTATGCGCGAACGCTGAGCGAAATATCTTGAGCCCGATTTTCAAGTTTCGAGGTCAAGTCTCGAGCTGATGAAGACGCAGTTTGTAACTTCAGGATTATTTCCCAAATCAGAAATAGAGGGCTATTTGGCAATCTCTAGCTGATGAGGACAGGCCCATCGCATGCAATGAAGATGAGCTTCATCTCTGATGAGCCATCATCATCATCTCCCACTAACAATAATCACCTGAGTGTATGATGTCCTGAGCCTGTGACACACTTTGATAATCAACCCATTGGCAATCATGCTTTAGATGTCTCGAGCTTGAGCCTGTGGAAAATGTGTGTTTAAATACCAAACTTTAACCATCCACAGCACAAAAAGAGTTAGTTCAACTATTGGTAGCTGTCAGATTTGGAGTTGATTTTAATACTAATAAAAATTAAATTATATCAGTTTTTAAAACACCCAAACAAAAGTGGTATTTACATCACTGACAACGATATTTTGTTTCACTAAAAAAAAAAAAAAAAGGAATTGTTCACAGCCGGATGACCTAGATATAAGCTATACATGTATACAATGAGATTTCACTGCAGTAAGAAGGAGGGCGGGGGAGGGAGGTGGGTGCTCCTAACTTTGTCATCCGACAAAGTATCCTCAGGCTTGAAACAATGACACAATGATCGGATTATATGACCCCAAATCCAGACAAACCTGAGCTTTTTGTGGTTAGAAAATCATTGTTTTACCTATTGAACCAACATCTAGGACGCAGGTGTATAATCAGACACACCATGCCCAAAAGCAACACATTGCTGGTCTAGACACTATGCATAAAAAAGGCTGCGAGAGGTACTCATTGATTTACTTAAATTTGTCCTCTGCTTATATTTTGTGGTTCATGCTGAAATCTGGTGAACCACATGATTTAGGTTGAAGTAGGGAGAGAGACCATTATATTGAGTTATATGTTCTTTATAGAATAACATACATGATATTGTCAAGAATAAATGTTGCTGATATCTTTATGTAATATACATGTAGCATGGCAGTTTTATGCTGCTTTGAGGTACAGTAAACTTCTTATAACAGACAACAACATTTGATTTTCATATAAATACAGATCATAATGTTATATTGATTAAAGGAGATGTCTACAGAAATAATCAATAAACATGATTGCAATTCAATCAAGAATGTTTAGAGAATATAATCAATCATATATTATCCTGATATAAATGATATGATTTGTACAATCAAGAGGTAATTAAATTAATTTATATGATATTGTTTCAATGAGTTCTTGGCATACAGCCTTTAAAAAATAATGTTTTGAGAGCTGGTCGTTAATTTACTCCAGTATAAGGCATTTCTTGAACATTTCCAGTGCTAAAGCAATAATTTACAAAGCCCTTTGGAAGCGCATAGGGGCGTTATATAATGTGGTATGCGCTATACAAGAACAAATTATTTTTATCGAATATTCTATGACTTTAATACTCAAGATTCTTGTAAGCTTACATTATTTTGGCCCCATCCCCTAAAAATATTCAAAATGATTATGTCGATTGACAAGTGTATGTTGAAGTTTTCTGTGGAAATGCAGAATAAAAAGTGACATTAACATAAAGAAGAATTTTCGACAGATGAAGATGAAAATCAGAAAGTTTACAGAAAGTGTGAAAAGAATTTCATAGACATAATAAGTTGAATAAAAGTTTTTAATTTTTTTTCTTCAGCAGTATTTCCAATAAATGTGTTGATATGACAACATTTATTACAAGTTCTATATTTCCACATCTCAAGAGGGTTATAATGCAACTCTTTGTGAATTAAATATAAAAATCTTAGTATTCAGGAAAACAAGCAGTTATATCATCTTTAATTTGGAGAAAAATATGTATTAGTTTACCCCATTGAATGTGAAATTAAGCAATCAATCTAAGACCTTATTAGATTTGACAGAGATGTGATTCAATTCTAAAGCTATTTGCTACATGAATTGTTTTATCAGGCTTGAGTGCAAAATAAGCTTGTCTGGAGCGTGGGCTGTTCTAACTACTATGGAAATGTTTTTTTGCAAGCAATGTGAGCTTTTGAAATAACATAGATTTTGAATTGGTGAATGCATATGCTTGAGTTTATGCAAAAGTTTGGGATAGCGTGGTGTTTTGAGATATAAAATGAAAGTAGTTGAATTGGGAATGCAATCTATTTTTTTTTAAATGAAAAAAATCCACTGACCTGATAAAACCATTTGTAAGATTAAAAAACAAACAATAGCAGTCTAAAACAAAATCTCAAGAACATTTCAAGGATGCAAAGGAGATGGTTCTTCATGTGCAACATAAGGGGAAAAAAAGGAACCTAAAAAAATAATGAGTTTTCTGTCCATGTATTTCAAGGAACTCTTTTGGTAGTTTTTCAGTCTCATCAGTGCCTTTGATTAGGCAACTAGATATTGGCGCTTTATAAATACCTGGATTGGATCTGTCAAAACTTTGGTTGCCATTTGCCCTTTTGATGGCGCACCATGATATTGCAATGTTTAATGAAGAAATAGGAATCAAAGCACATTTGTAAAGATTTACTCTAACACCATTAATCTTTTTCTTTCCTTTTTTCAGATTTGCTGATAGAGATTATTGGTGTATTATCCAGCTATAGCATCTCAGTCAAAGAACTGAAACTCATCTTCAGAAGTCTCAAAGGTGCAGATAATAAATGGGTAAGTTTGAATTCAATTTAATTAATTTGATTTGCCAATCCATAGCTATGGGATTGTGTATATTTTGGCACTGATTTATGTGAACCGATTCATATACATCCCCTTTGCATAAGCCCAAGCATTGCATATGCTGGTTTACAACAGAGTTAATGAAATCTTCCAATTTTTTTTATGATTTCCATTTTACTGCATACAGATTTAAGTGGTAAAAAAGAAAAATAGCCACAGTCATGGATTTGATGAAAAATTGCTGCAGACTATTTTATGGGTTGTCTTTGCCTTCAAGGGCATTCTGAAAATTAGAAAAAGAGGAAAAATCTAAATTTTGATTCCTGTAAAGTTGACCAACAAGGTACTTTACCTTTGAAAACGGAAGAAGGTTATTATGTTTATCTTTCATAAGATAAGGTGAAATCGATGTCTTTTGTCTGCGGCTAGCAGTGAACGTGACGTCATCTAATGTACCACTAGGATAATGTGCCGCATAAACAACTGAATTCTTGTCCTTGTTTTGGAAACGAATGATTGATCTGTGGTTTCGTGTTGGTTGCTATTACTTTGACAAATGTTATTGCCGGATATGTGGCAACTAGGCTTTGAAAGTGGAATGGAAATAGAAGAAAGGAGAAAGAAGTGGAACAAGGACAGTGTTGCCCATAATTATGTGGAGATGTTTTTTGTGTGCTAGGTTTAGAAAAATATTGCCAGATAAAAAAGGGGAGTGAGAAGAAATTGAGAAAAGGAAAAACCCCAGAGATGAGTGGGATAACATATAAGAGTGTGTGTGTGTGTGAGAGAGAGAGAGAGAGAGAGAGAGAGAGAGAGAGACAGAGAGAGAGAGAGAGAGACAGAGAGAGAGAGAGAGAGAGAGGGGGGGGGCGGGAGGAAGAGAAAAGGGGAATGGGAATAGAAGAGAGAGAGAGAGGCAGTGAGTCGGAATCAGGAATAGAGGAGAGAGAATAAGTTCACAAAAGGGAGATGGTGAGAGAAAAAGATCGGGGGGGGGGGGGGGGGGAGGGACTTTATTTAAAGTTTATGTAACCTTTCCTTAAAGAGTTCAGAGAAATTGTTCGTAGAGGGGAAGGACAAAAGAGAAAACAAAATGGGAGGAGGAGGGACTTTATTTGGAGTTTATGCAACCTATCATGAAATAGTAGAGAGAAATCGTTTGTAGAGGAGAAGGTTGATAGAGAAAAAAGATAGAGGTATGGGGAACTTTATTTAGAGTTTATGCAACCTATCATGAAAGAGTAGAGGGAGAGAGAGAGAGAGAGAGAGAGAGATTGTTTGTAGAGGGGAAGGTGGAAAGAGAAAAAAAGATGGAGGAATGGGGAACTTTATTTAGATTTTATGCAACCCATCGTTAGAGATTGATACGTGGTAGTTTTGGGGGATATTTGAAGCAAGTAGAGAGTGCTAATGGAACGCTGGCAATTAGAGCATTGGTCTGTACATCCATCATGGGCTAGTCTATCAGTGCAGACCTTTTCATTTTAGACAAATGTTATTAAATCATATCATACATGTAGTATTAATATCATTGCCCTTCTGGCTCTCAACAGACAATACATTCTATTGAAACTTGCAGATGATCATTATTAATTTTCAATTTGTACTTAATTTTTTCCAATATTGTTTTTGAAAATATCTACATCTATAGTAGTACTCTTCTCTGTATTACTGCTTGATCTGGTAATTGAAGTGCTGGGTGTTTTATTATAGCCTGAATATCAAGACTAAGCAATGATAGGGTCATTGGGTCATCTCTATTCCTGAGGTAAATTGGGAAAAGTAGTACTTTTGAGAAACCTACAAGGAATAATTTAGGATATTTTTGGCTTTATTCATGGCAAAGCTGGTGGTATTGATAATTTCTTGGGACCGGATGGGTTTCCAATGGCGACATAGATGGATCATTCTAACACCTGAGAATGGCAGGACGAAAGAGAGCAAAGGGAATGCCGGGAGAGTGTCGGGAGAGCTGAGTGGAAGCTAGAGGAAATAAAGAAAAAAACAAGCTTCATTGATTTGATAACAGATAGAGAGGGAAGAAAGAAGTGGAAGAATTACATGTTTAATTAGGAACAATGCAATAAGTAAAAAGACTGTAGAAGTAGAAAAAGGGCAAATTTACTGCAACCAAAGATTGAGAAATTGATTAGAAATGGTAAATACTTAAAATAAAAAAGCCGCAATAAAATGCAGAAAAATAATGTGAAGAGGGTAAAAACAGAAGTATAGAAGTACAAGAAAATGAAAAATAGAATGTAGGTGGAGTAAACAGAGAAAATAAGGCATCATTTCTTTAAAAATATATTAAAAAACAGATTAAACAAGTAAACTTTCATAATAATGAAAAGAAAAAAGAGGAGAAAGAAGGAATATTTGCAATTAATGGAGAAAGAAAGCAACAAAAAACCTTACCTAAAATGAACCATTCCTCTTGAAAATAATTATGGGAAGATAAACAAAAGAAAATGAACAAAGAAAATGAAAGAACAGGACAAAAACGAGGTCACAAGAAAAATATAATATTGACTCAAATAATCTGATTTTCTGACACAGTTTATGGATTAGTTTGCACAAAATCAGCTTTAGCAGGAATTGAAGACTCTTAGCTTAGAATCCGGCATCTTACATGACCACCCTTGAACAGAATAAAACGGTTGAAGTGTATATGTAATTAGAGAAAAGAGAACAAGGGAGCTTTAGGGGTCCATTTGGGTTTTGAAAGTCTAAAGTGCTTGGGATGTATTGTGAAGATAGAAATGTGCTCTTCGTTGTATGGTCTGGATGGAAATGTAAAGGTAGAGAAGATTAGCCTATATAACAAGGATTAAAGGGGAGATCCAAACATGGAACTAAATATGGTGTGAATCTGTGAAAGAGGTGATTTAACACAAAATTTGATTCTCTTATATTGTAGTATTTGGTTATAATCATGAAGTTGACATATGATAAGTTTTGTCTAGAAGCCAAACAATAAAAGTAGTTTTCATACAGTATTAGATTACCAATTTTGTTACCAGTTTCTCTGACCCATTTCCTATGGGGAGCAGGTTAGTTACATTGATAAGCCTATGGGAATGAGAGAATTGAGAAGTCAACAGGTTTTTTCATAACCAGTTTCATTGGGAGTTATACAGTGTATAGGGATTTTTTCCTTCCAAGTGTCCTTTGGTCATCTTATACCACTTGTGCTACAAGAAGAGATTAAAAGTGTGTAATGCTGGATAGCATCTATAGTACTTACCAAACAATTTAATCCCTTTGAAGAAAAAAAATCATATGCCTTGGATGTTTGCTACCATTGTTGCAACCAGTTAATGAAATTTGATATCTAAATTCATGATTTTAGAATGCTGATTGTCATCATATCAGTAGGTTTTATTTAAAAACTCTCATTTTAGATTCGTACAACCAAGATATTCTTCACTATTAAGGGAGTGGTTTCTAGCTTTAAGAGTAAATGCAGAAGGTAATGCATTATTAACTGACATCTTGGATGCAGCGCTGTGTTCCTATAGGGACTAGATGCTCTTAGATACTTGTGCCAATTCATTTACATACCAATTGTTGATCGCATTCAAAAGGCATAGATCGTCTGCAGACAGCTAAAAGGGCATTAAATCTATGTTAATGGATAGGAATTAAGGTCCTTCTGGCTCTCAGCTGATGAGATGGAGCTTTAGTTTACTGGAAGACTTGAGGGGGATGCATTCTCATTGCATTAATGCATGGCTGTGCGTTGGTGTTCGGTTTTTGTTAGGATGAAAGAGAGATAGAAAAATGGGGGAAGAAAGAGGCAGAGGGAAAGAAAGAAGAGAAAGACATAGCCAGACAAAGAGAAATAGAAACGGGGAGCAAGACCAGGGAGACAACAACTTGTAGAGCCATCCAGACATACACTGTAGGAATATTGTGAGTTATGAGACAATTATCGGGGGAGGAAGGGGGGGGGGGGGGGGTAAATGTTGATTGTAAAGAATTAAAGATGGACTTGAAAACATTAATAAGGTCATAGGTAGGGGGAAAAAAGAAGAAAAATTATTTGTATCAATCTGAACATTTTCACATGATATTGGATTGTTGAACCATAATTCTGGTAAAACAATTGAACATATGATATATATATATATATATATATATATATATATATAATAATAATGCATCATGTCCTCTTTTATTAAAAATCACCTGTGATCAAATAAACTTCATAAAATAATCAGAACCTTTTGTATAAGTGAAGTAGAGATGAATGTATGTGATCATCTAAAGAAGAAGCCCCTATTACTCCTGTTATGTTGACAAGATCAATCCCAGATCAACATAAGACAAACAAAAATTACCTTTCCCCAAATGACCGTGATGTACTTGAATTTATCTGTTTTCTTTTCAAAAGTCAAATTCGTGATGTGACTGAGGTATTACTGATAAAAAAAAATCCATGATGAGTACCTTTGAAGGGCAACATGGTGTAGAATGTGTTTCCCTTGGGGGAGCTCATGTATGTACATGTAAGTGAGGTAATGATGGAGTGATGCTAAATGATGCAAAATGATGCAACATGTACAACATGTACGTGTAACGAATATGTTTTTCAGAGTCAGTTAAAAGTGAACCGGCAAAAAGATAGCAAGACCTAAGCCTGAGAGGAGACATGGTGAAGGAAGTAATTATGAGATTATTGAGATAAATCATTTGTATTAAAATTAACCACTCGTTCAAAAGATTTTGTTGGTATTAATTTTGCAGTCCTTTGTACCTTAAATTTTCTTATATTCTTTAAATGGAATTGCTCATGTTTTACACACACACACACACTCTATCTCGCTTCTGACACTTTTGACGTTGTTCCTTTGTCTTGCATGATCCCTTCTGTAAAGAGAATATAAAGTAATGTCATTTAGAAAGATACAGTTCATCTGTTTAAATTTTATGAACATCTTCAATTTCTCTCCGTGTGTTTATATCGCATAGGGCAACATCAGAAGTGGTAG